GAAATAATTGAAATTGGCACTTTTCTATTTTCAATCTTATTATAAAATCTTTTTCTTTTTCTTAATTGTTTGTTTACACGTGCAGAATGACAGACTTTTGCTACATGTCCTATTTTACCACAACAATTACAATTAAAATTGCGAGCAAAACAATTAGTTCTAAGATGTGTGTACTCACCACATCCTTGACACATCGGCCATTCTCTTATCGGATTTCGTTGTTGAGGATAGTTCGTATGTCTAGCTGATGTTAATGTGTACTCTGAGCGTCGCAGATGCCTGTTGCGTTGGGGCATACGTCTGGCGTTGGGAGTGAATTTTCCTGGATATTCTGTAGGGCTCGCTCTTGGGTTTTCAAAGTTTGCTTCATTTCTAGTCTCACTTGGGTCTTGCAATAGATGGATTGCAGATTGTGCATTGACGGCGTCTTTAATTGCACTCTGAAGTGTGTCTATTTTATCTGTTATCATTTTTATGTCATTTCGTTGACCTCTTCTCGTCGGCTGAACTGCGTTTTCTGCAATGCGCGCGTGGTGCATAAGAGAACCAAAGTCAAAGGGCTCCTTTTGCAATACAAATGGGCGGATTTCGGGTAGTAACCCATTCATTACCACTGTAAAGGCTGTTTTCTCATCTAAACGCGCACGTTTGGCGTCGTGACGCATCGATTCGATGTACCTCTGTACTGGTTCTTCTGGAAGTTGATGACGCTTGAAAAATTCTGAGGCTTTTTCCCAAGTTTCTCCGGATTTCAGTTCATATCGCTGTCGGAACTCGCGAACAAGCGATTTCCAGTCTTTCTGTACTTCTACTGTTAAACACTCGTACCAGTTTAACACTGTTTGATTCAGTAAGAGAGGAAATAAGGCGGTGATTTGTTCATCTTCTAGTTTTTTATACTGAGTATAGTTTTCAAATTGATTTAACCACCTTTCTACATCTTCGTTTGTGTTACCAGTAAACTTTTCTGGCGCTAAAGTCAAATCTGACAACATCTTCATTTTTTTTTCAGTTTTTTACTTGTTGCTGGCAGTAATGGCTTCTGGTTATTTTCATTACTCAGCATACTTGGTTTTCTCTGCACTGGGAAATTGACGATGTTTGCCCCTGGGTGGATGGTGTGAACCCATCGGTGTCTACACTCCTGCCGCCGTCATCACCATAACTGTATCACCGTTCCGCTTGCCTCGGTAGAGCGGGGATCGTTTTTTTCCTCCACCACTTGTTATAGTGAGGAATGACGACAGCAGTTTGGAGCTTCCGAACGTTTATTCACCGACCCTTGCTTCATACAATTTCACAGATATTTATACTCAATTTCTNTATCTGGAACTACACTGCCAATTGTAGATCGACGTATTAAGTCATACAGTACATAGGTGCACAAGCTTAGCATACATGACAGTAACGTTTCAAATGTGTTTGACTCTCAAACCTAATGTACACGGAGTATAGGTAGTTATTGCTTTGTCACTTTTACGCACAGTATGCTACATACACCCCATTTCCATAGATTTTTAGATCGATCTATCCCTGTGGGGAGTCTCACTAGATTACTGTCAGCTTGGCCGGCTTAAGTGTCTGTCCCGCCTACTAAAAGCTGTAAGGGGGTAATTAAATATGGTGCCCGCTCGGCTGACTGCAATTTAGCGTGAACCCCCAGGGAGTTAGGTCGATCTAAAACTTAAACTTTAGATCGATCTGAATCTCTGGGAATACACCCTATAGCAACCACATGTATTTTGACTCTCTTCTTTCCGAATGTGGCCTTAAAATGAGTACTTGTTGCTGAGCTATTGAATGTCCCGGTTTTAACGTACATCGGGATGCTTACTTTATGAACCCCGTACTTAAATCGGGGCATCCAATAGCTCAGGATCTGGGCCATATTTTATGGTCACATTTTGGTAGTCGTTGGTCAAGATGTGTAGCTCTTCCATGCACGTGTTAATATTAGCGTATTTTGGTTTTAACATACTACAAACACTGTCTGGACTAACATGCCTACTCAATGATTTGGAGTTTGACTCTTCGCATTTAAATGCCGTTGCCTTGATATTGTTTAGTTTGAATCTTTTGTTAATAACATGGAAATAAAATTGATAAATTTATTTCAAATTTGATCAGCTTCTCTAACTCGTTATATTCGCCTTCACAAACAAGTGTATTCCGTGGTGAATGTGGTGAATAAAAGTTAAACCTTTGATTAAGCTCATTTTGATCTCCTGATCTTTTACTCTTGAGCCTACAGTCTTGCTAAGTGAGTAATCTCCTAAAGGATTTCTCTTCGTTAGAATTAAATCTACAGGTTAAATGCGATCATTTTTAATATACAAAATGAAAGTTCATAGGGAATCGATCCTGTCACCTTCTGTTTGCGAGACTTGCACGATACCGGTTCGTCCATTCACCCAACCAGTCTATTTTCAACTTGGAAGTTCCATTTATATTTGTGGATCTTTTTTTCTGCAAAATGTACCTCTCTGGGAATCGATCCTGTCATCTTCTGGTCTCCAGTCTAGCACGTTACCGGTTCGTCTATTCACCCAACCACCCACCCTAACTTTCAGATCTTCCCTTTGTAGTTACAGCGCCTTTTGTTCATGTAGACTGCAGATAAAATGTATTAGAAAATAATCGAGACACTTATAATGTGCGCGTAAGCCACCAGTGGAGCTAAATGTTCTTTTTGTACAGTGTTTGTTAGCTTTTGACCTGTCTGACCGAGAAGTTCAGCGATTTTTTTCTGTTGTATAATAAACACAGCGCTTTAAAAATGGTCAAAAATTACCAGAACGCTCGAGGTGGTATTAGTTCCATATTGGAGATTATTCTCCAAAAGTATAACGGCAAAACGGACGCAGTGCACAGTTGTAACGACAGTTCATGAAGCATGCGTGCGTTCTTTCGTATATTGTTCGCACAGTACCCGTCACCAGCTTAATTACATAGTCAAGGTAATGTTTTTGTCCTCTGTTAACATTTAGAAGCAAACCCGGTTCCCAGTCAACATTTTCACCATTTTTGTATAAAATTTTCTATTTAAACTTATTTTCGGAAAAACGCACATGGTTTCAGTACATTTTTATTTAAGTTTAGTCACATGATAATGAAATGATACACATGACAATAATGTACTCTCAACAAAAAGTATTTATGCATGTGTTTAGCCTAATGAAAACATATAAAAAATCAATCACATAAAACATAACGTTTATTTGAGAGAATAAGAATTCGGTTCAATGATAAACAATAAAAACAAACTAAATACATGCAGTTACGCGTTTTCACTTACACTCAAATTAGTCAACACTTTTACTTGCTCCTTCATAGCACATACCGTAGCTATCATGAATATATCCTTTTTCATTTACAGTTCAGTGTCAACAATGTATAAAAAGATGACGCGGTACGATGTCAGTTTCACTAGGAGCATACAAAGTAATAGCTACATTCCACCGTGACTTAAAATCCAGTATTACCAGTTGTACAACCAAACTGGGCCAAATAGCTACTGTCTCCAAGAGAATTTCTAGTTGTTACACAAGTAGGCTAGGCTACCTCTAGTAGAGAGCAAGAAAACGCCACGGTTTTTAAGACATGTTCTCACACGCTTGAAACGAGTATCAGCGTACCAGAGTTCACATGGCAGTTTTCTCCTTACTGTTTTTTCACCAAAAAGTACTTTGGTTAGTCCAAGTCCGAGTCAAATAGCATAATCATATGAATATCTTTGACAGGTACGTTTTCCTCACAAGTAAAGAATGTCTTTGTCCTACGAAGTATCACTCTCCTTTTCACCGCCCTTGAGTCCAGTCTCTCTACATATGCTATGCTACTTCTGACAGGTCATTTCTCTAGCATCCTTGATAACTCGTCATCCACCCTTAGTGTTACATAACGTCCGGTGCAGGCTACCCACTTAGATAGTCAGACCAGTGACCTATATAGAGATCTTTATATGGGTCATTGGTCAGACCAAAGACAAGCTGGTGTCAGTTTATATAAAAAGTAAACATTTAAGTTGTGCCATTGACACACACATTTTGTGTAATATTTGCATGACTTTTTATATACATGTATATATTGTTCATTACGGTTTATTTCTTTCCGTATTGGAGGATGATATATAGCATACTATATAGTATGAAATGGCGGAAAGAATGGTCTACAGTCTAAATCATGTAAATATTACACTAAATATGTGCATCACTGACGTGACTTGAATGTTTAGGGGAGACCGTGGCTACTTGGACCCCGGGGTAAGTTGGCCCCCCATAAAGTCTCTTTAATAAAGTTACTTTAAGATGGTAAATTATTTCATTTGGACTCACTGCCGACGCTTTCTTGGCACTATTGGATGCGGTCACTTTACAAAACGATGTGATATTCTTTTACTCCATAGTTACTTTGTCATAAATTGATGGGGGGGCAACTTACCCCCGGGGTCCAACCAGCCCCTGTCTCCCCTACTTTATGTGAAATACCACGCAGACATCATTTCAATGTTCCTGGTCAAATTAACACGTCACTTTTACTAGACTTTTTGTTGTGAAAACATAATGTGACAATGGGCTTACACATGCTTACAGACATGGCATAAGTGTCACGTCAGACCCTCCACAAATTCAAAATAGTCAGAAAAGAGATATTATGAAAAAATGATATTATGGGTGCTGTTCCTAACCCATGATGCAATCATTGCTCTTTTTCAGTTGCATTTTAAATAACAACATACAAATAATTTTCTTTCTCTGTAATATTGTAAAAAGTACACAGTTGAGAAAAATAGCACAGCAATGTAAATCGTGAACATGAATATCAAAGGTACATGTAGAGCACACGTGCACGTTTATCTCATAAGTCTTTTCTGATATTGACCATAGTAAAGGACATATTTCTATCAGCTAGATTAATACTGAGTGTTTTGCCTAACACATGACAAATATAAAATTTCTTTTTATGGTTCTCATAGTATCCATAAATGACATATTTTCCAGGTTGTTGGAAAGCATGTCTTCAGTTTGGAGGAGACCGTGATGCACCAAAAGAGAAGTATGTTATCAATTGAAGAATCGACAGATATTCTAAAGAGAAAACAGGAGGTAACAAGCCTTTGTTGTAAAACGGTTTAGAATTCGTTAGGCATATATTGCTACTTTGGCAAAATCCTTACTAGTAAACTTGTGAAATCTTTATGAATTTTGCAATCAGTTAAAAGAAATGTGCTCTATGAAAAGACATTGTGCACTATGTATATTTTGTCTGCCAAAAGACGAAATATTGAGAAATGAAAGGAACTTGAACAAAACCTGCATCAAACGTGCACTTGAATTTGCTTCAATTTCCTTGTCACCCGTTTCAGGCAATGAATGGACGCGTGGTTTTATTAGAAAGTGACGTCAAAGAACACGACCAAAGGTTAAACACGGTGGAGATGAAAAGCGACACTCTAAACCAGACACAACAGGTAATGATCTCGGCAACTACGTATTAGTAATTAGTATACAGACTGAATATATAACTTGTAGTAATAAATATCAATGTAACAGTAAAAATAAGTTATACATGTAATTTGTAATAAAAAATAAAAATGTATGACTAATACAAACATAATATTAGATTTACTAATCGTTCCAAATTTAATCATATGGGATAGCTATCCAATTTAACCTCGGGGACCTACATATGGGGCTCTTAGTTTATCGACAAAAAACTTTCGTTTAAAAATTACAATATAACGACTTAATGGACAATACTTAACTGCCCTGTAACAAGTTTTTTTTATCAAAATATAACTTAAAGTCTTTGGCTATGTATATATCCAATTGTTGCTCTTCCAGTTCTCAGAATTATACCATCTACCTCAAATATATATAATTACATTTTGTTGGAATTTAAATGCTATCATCAACCTCAAAATATGAATACAGCAAAGCATGAATCCTATAGTTAATGTTACTTATAGTATTGTCGTTATATAAGCTACACTATACAAACTGGATAATAGAAGTGTCACCCCTACAGAACCAATACTTTGGGGGAGATAAATGACTGTGGAATGATATGCTCCTGGTATCATTTTATTAACACAAAATTTCACAAAAAAGAGCAACAATACGATTCCATGGTTTTGTACTCATTAGTCACATTATAAGTAGACCAGGCATTATAACTTTGATTACTCTGATTCAGGGGGTGACACTTCTATTGTCCAGTGTGTGTAATAGCTTCAAATTAAGCGATATGTATGAACGAATATGGTACTTAAAATATAGTCATCTGCTTTAAAACAAACACATCAAATAATATAGTCGCAGGATATCTGAATATAACGTTTTCCTATTGAATCTCTCTGTAGGTATATTGGAAACGCCTTCGCCTGGTAGAGGTCAACTCAGCGTCTCGGACCAAAGTTGATGAGAGAATGGTGCTTTTAATAATTCTCATAATGGCTACCATGGCAATACATTCCATGTACAATATGTGTTACTACGATGGAACCAACAAATACTGATGCTTACGGAAATAACGATCTGAAACAATTAGGTAATCACATGGACCCAGTTTCATGAACACTTGATAGCGCATTCTATGAATGAAAAAGTTATCTTCTGGGCAGTTATCCTGTGGTAAAGTAATTGTCTCAAACACGGGATGCACTTTTGTATCTCTGATATCGCTATCCAATGGTTAAAATGGAAACTTTGTTCAGTATATATATCAAAAGGATAACACATTTAGTGCAAAACGAAGAGCAAGTTCGAATGTTATTTACATTTTATACGATTAATGACTGATTATCCTAGCTGACAAGATCCTATGTTTCATTGACGCATTGCAGGACAGTACCTTTCTTATCAGTTATGGCGATAAATTAAAGTAACGAAGCTAGTTTTATACAGGCGTAAATTTCTAAATGCTAATAATAATAAATTGAACTGCATCATCTATGTGTTTATACATTTACCCTGCATGAATAAGTAGTTCCCAAAAAAGTCTTCATTGGGGGCAGAGGGACGACCATTTAAGTAAGTAACCCAAAGCATATAGGACATTACATATTCGGCATTAACTATCTAATTCAATACATGTGTCTATTGAAAAGCAATATGTAACCTCTAAATATTCATTCTGAAGCCTGTTTTGTTTGTGAAAACATGGACTGGAGAGCGTTCATAATGGTTTGAAGCTCAGCATCTTTTTACATTACTTTATTTCCATTCAAATGCATCGCTGTCTCAGGAATGGTTTACCTTTTTATTCAGGCAGTTGGCTGTACCAAGCAGGTTCAAACAGGCATTCAGATAATCTGAAAATGCAATTTTTAGTAAAAGAATATTTCTTTTTTCTCTACTTTGTAAAAACGATCCGTATTTTAATTTAATTCCCTGTCATGTTTTCAACTAAAAAATTGCTTTTGAAAATATAAAACATGTTGTGAAATCATACGAAAATAAAAAAGATGCAAAGATAAGGGAACCATATTACACTGTAATTTACCTTTTTAAGGTTTCCTTTTCACTACCATCAGGTAATGCCATGACATCATGTGACCTCTCTTTTTCGGAACATAGTTTCATGTATCTATGGGTGTACATTCGAATGGATGTTATTAGTTGCCTCACTTCTGTCAATGATTCTTCCCTGAGAGATACAACATGATTATAGTTCTTTGGATGACGGTTTCGTTCACAATTACAGGGAATTGAATTAAAACAAATAGTGTGTAGGAATGTTAAGCATTAACAACATATTAGACTCTGAAAACACAATATTTTAACAACTCTTGGAAGGTCAATCAATCAATAGCAGCTTCCTTCCCCGTAACCGATACAGTTTACAGATTCGCCTACCCGTAATTAAAATTTGTAAGCACGAAGCAATACATGCAGGTACGTCGTACCTTAAGTTTGCATATAAAGGAACGTATGTAAAGATCATATCATTTTTCTTTAAACAATAAACGCGTCAAATTACAGATTCGGTTATGCAAATGTAGGGGCACGGACTTAGTGAAAAAATAATATAGAAAAAGTCGCATTCCTATAGTTTAAGGCTGCGTACCGTCTTCAACGACTAGATACGTTAACAATCATGTCATTATCCTGAAATTACAAACATAATTTATTTTTCCAACTTTGTTTTCAAATTATCGGATTGGTACATGTAAATTTGCAAACACTTTAAGAAGCGGCCTGCTTGACCAGTGCCCCAGTGTCTTCCAACCTTAGCTGACTAACAATGCTATTTAAGTATTTCGTGACTTAGTTATAAAATTACACACAAAGAACAATTAAAAACATATCAGCTATAGCCTAGCACGAATACAGATCACGTCATGCAATGTACTCTCGTCTAGAAAACCCACTAATGTATATTGCTGGGTTTGATTTTTTACAATGCTTAATAACTATAAATCGGTGTCATCCTTCTCTAACTTCAAGCTTATAGTGCTTTAGTGTTTCATGAAACAACTACATGTTCTCTTAATTCCATATTCACATCCTTTGATAGCCCAATCCCCTGTTGAAAATCAAAAGTTAGCAATACTACATGTAAAAAAAACAGTACAACATCTAGTTTTTAATCTGAGATCAGTAGTCCTTTGAAATAATCACGATAACAAATTAGCAATTGCTATACTCGCTTAAGTTATATATCTTGATCAGTATGAAATAAAATGTGTATTCTGACTTTGACAGAAAGGAGCAACATAATGCTTTTTAAAGGCGCAGGAAAAATAAAGTTGTCTTACCTGTCACTATCAGGCTTGCCCCATACATTAAGTTTACTGCAGTATGCGCTCAAGTGCGTCAAGTATACATTTGGTGGCATGTATCCTAGAGAAAAGCACCGCGTTTATGTACATGATAATAATAACAATAATAAGCCATGTTCGGTGAAATGGTATAACATACTGAAGACAAAATGTTACATATGATACGCACTTTCTAAATTTAAACTGTAGATATTTCTAAAAGAACACAGGGTTTAGAAATTAAAGGGATAGCAACCGTTCGTAAGATATCCATATTTCACAATAAATACATTGTAAAACTCGTAACTCATAGAAATACAATGAATTCTATTTTAACCCCAAAACGGCCGGTTAACACAGTTATTTGGGACTTTTTGTGCTTGCCATCACATCAAGTGACCTCCATAGATGGCTGCACTCTGCAATAATCTCTTAAGAGCTTAAATAATCTTTTAAGAGGTTATTACAAAAAACCAAACTTTTTTAGAAATAACAGGGACTAATTTTGATTGTGGGAATGGAATCATTTACAATTGGTAAGTAGGGAAAAGTTGTCACTTATCCCAGGAAAATTTATTTTTTGCCAAAATGAACATTTGTTATCCCTTTAAGGATATAATACTCACGGATATATTCCCTTATAACTTAATGTATTGACAGATTACGTGAACTTTTGTCTTATCTTCTATTAACGGAAAATACATTAAGTCTTTTTTACTTCCATTGTAAGGCCATCTTAGTAAATCGTATCATCTTGGTCATACCTGTCATCAGCCATTTTTACCTCAGGAAGACAAATTTGAAAGGAACGAAAGACTACACGATTGCCATAGAGAAAACACGACTTCGCAATACCGCTGTACAACCTAAATACAGACTTGACATAAAACATGGAATATTTTAAAGGTCTGTCTAGATAAACGTGTTATTTATTTCTAAAACGTGTATCTAATGTGAATCACGAGAATAGATAAATGTGTAGTCAGGTGTATCAGTAACAAATATCTAACTACCTAGCCTGAAGCACTACTGCACTGCTTAATATGTGGCGATTTCTTTGCAGTGCTCTTTGGGCTGGTCTGAGTATGAATACGGCAAAGAACTGTTCACTAAAATGTCAATATTTCGGCAAAGGCTGCACAGATTATTTTAAAATTTCTCATACAAGTAGGTGTTACGTTGCATAAACTGAACAAAACTGTGTTACAACATTGAAGATATGCGCCAGGTTGGAGCAAAACATTGAGAAAGGATCGCTGCACACAGTCTTATAGAGGTATGCCCAGAATGTAGTACCTACACATAGGCCACGCCCAAGACATCCAGACAGGATGACAGGATGCAAGATACATATGATTTTTTACGGATTATTTGCTACAAATAAACAAAGACAACCAGTTCCCTTCAGAATAATAAGAAGCATAAATAATGTCACGAAAAAGCGTTTTACAAGGCCCATTGTAATCTTCAGACTGGCTAAAGCAGGTCACTCTACCAGGCGACCTCTGAGGGACCCTCTGTAAATAGCGCAACATCGCTGGCTGTTTCCGCAATGAGTCCGGTACCATTTGCGTTTCTTGGTACAGCACGTGAAACATGGTTTTCACTTGTGAGGTCAGATCTTATTTGTCGCGTTAAGGTGGTCAAATTCAACCTACCAAAGAGGCCTAGGACTACGCGTGTTGCTCCTAGAGTGACCTGGGTCGGTGGGAGCATTTGTATTTGGGGCGAAATTCCCGTTGGTTCCGAAACCTCATTGGTAGTCTTCGATAGAAACCTTAACCAGAACAAATACAGGGATGATCTGGAAATCAACTGCATCCTTTTCGCTAATTTCATTTTTAAATATGAAAATAGCTGTTCACGCAGAGCACCTACGACACATCATTTGATAAACAGATCCCTTGCGCAACCAAGGGTCTGAGCCCTAGTAGCGGCAAAACGAGGCCAGACGCGCCACTTAACGATGTTTGACAGGACACTGATATGTGCGTCCTTTGTGAAGCGTATAAATCTTTCATAGATAGATAATTTTGAAAATATGGAGATTGAAATAATTGGTAATGGCTGTTGTATGACTAAGGATCAGACACGTATTTTTGTTTGCTAAGTGCTACCATAATTACACTGAATAGAAAATTAAGTTATTAAAACAAGATTTTTACACTCGTTTTCATTCATAAGTCGGGGAAGTAGGAAATAATGAAAAATTCCTCCTTTTTAAATTTCAAGTCCGCATTATACATGTAAAAGTTATATAGCTGTCGACGCGTGCTCGAAAGATACTAGTAACCATCTGGCATCGTACTTGGCTCTAAGGTTGGTGTTACACGGTAATGTTAGACAACAACCAGACAACATACAAAGCAAGTATGATGACTATTTATACAAATGATTATAATGCTTGCGATATCAAAAAGTTGTCAAAAGTTTTAGTACAGGCTATAGAGACCATGGATCCGTTTTATTTCGTACGATTTCGCATGGCCACCGTCTGTCTCCGCAGAGATGCTGCACAAAAAGGTTTACGGTTGGTATACGAGCATTGTAGAAAAACTGCATGCCAAATGCAATATAAGTTTTACCTGCAATTGCTAGGATTAATGACGGGATGAAATCCTTATCCGGAACGAGAAAGCTTTCTTTCCGGTGACTGATTTTGTGCATAGAGGAGCGTGGCAATTCATTATCCAGCACAACAGAGATGCAGTGATGCCCTCTTTTAACCAGTTGGTTAAATTGGTCACTGCTATCGGGCAGAAATAACGCAACACAATATAACTGCCCGATGTCGTATGTTAAGGTATCTACTTTGGTTCCATCAAGAATATGGATGTAGCTGCACTCAACGCCCCTCTCTTCAAGTTGGTTACGAATTTCTTTTACTCTCTTTCCATCATTTATTCTGCATACAAGAGAGATTTTCTTCAAACATGATGAACTGTCGGCCAATGTCAATGGTGATCTGAAAAAAAATTCACCAAAAATAATTTTCGCAGATATTGAAATACGGACGACATCGTATTACAATGACCACTGCGATTATTTCGGACAGGATATGTTTACTCGCTTCGCTCAGTTATTAAAAAAACGGAACACAAATTGTAAAAGTTCTGCTCAGAGGTACGTATGAGTATCGCATATGAAATGAGTACACGCCAGTTTGCAGGGGCGG